GAGAGCGGAAGTGGATCTGTTCGCCAGCCGGTGCAACAACCACTGTGCCCTGTGGTTCTTCATGGCCCTGAGCGACGACCCACGCTTGGGGGTGGATGCGTTTGCACACGAGCCATGGCCAAGGAAGCTGCTATACGCCTTTCCACCGCTGCGTCTCATTCTCTCTCTCCTGGGGAGAGTGAGGCGAGAACGTCTGTCAGTCATCCTAGTGGCTCCGGACCGCGTCGGGGCGCCGTGGTACTCAGAGATGACACAGATGAAGGTGGGCCAGCCGTGGGCGGTTCCCCAGTTCTGGGGGGCGATGTCTCAAGAGGCAGGTGCAATCGGGGCGACCTCATGTTTCCCCCCCATGGTGGGGCCGGGGAGGCTAAACTGCACCTCCTCTGCCCGGTGCGTGCGCTAGCTTGTTATGTGGAGCGCACAGCTGCCCTTAGACGCACTGAACAGCTGTTCGTGTGCTTCGGGGGCGGTGTGATCGTGAAAGCTCTGTCCAAGAAACGCCTGGCAGGCTGGCTCTGCGAGTGCATTGCACATGCCTACGGACAGGCAGAGAGAGCCTGCCGGGGATTTGTGTGCACTCCACACAGGCTGTGGCTGTATCAACAGCCTTATTCAACGGTGTGAGTGTGGAAGAGGTATGCACGGCGGCATCTTGGTCGACACCAGGCCCCTTCATAAGGTTTTATCTCTTGGACATGTCTGGCTCTTTCTCCTCGTCTGTGCTTGCTGAGGCAACACAGGATTTGTAGGGAGGGGGGGGGGGGGGGGGGGGGGGGGGGTTGTAGGTCAGTTAGCATCTGACCCCCTCTCCGGACTCTGGGGGTCCCGGGATAGGCAAGGGGGGCGCACTGGCACTTTACGGGGCTTCCCCCCCCCTGCCCCCCACTTTTTAGTCCTCTCACACTCTGCATGGGGTCAGTGCTTGAGTGTGAGACACGGGCTCTGGCGCTCTCCCTATTATCCTTAGGGATTCCGAGGGGGCTCTCCCCATCCGTCTATGGGCGGGGGGGGGTCCCCCGGCACTTTTTTTTTAGCACACTTTCTGCGAGGTAAGTGCAGCAGGGTGTGCTCTGTCAGCCACAGCCCAGATTTCTCCTCAGTCACAACCGGGTTAAGGGAGAATGTGGGCAGCAGCTGCTGACCAGGAAAGCCGGTTAGGGGCAGTAGGGTGGAATGGTGTTGGACGACAGTGCGTACATGCATCGGGGCTCCACCCACTGTACCCATAGAGTCCAGTAGAGGGCGGAGCCTGTGAGTGATATAACGTTGGGTAACGTATTGTAACCCTTGTTATATTAGCACAGGCGGAGCCCTCTACTCAGGGCACTGTCTGTCCTATTCCGCTCGCTGAAGAGAGGTTTAGGATGATGGGCAGGAGGCGAGGCCTCCTTATATACGGTGTGATGCGCGCGCATTCAGGTAGGCCCGCCCTAGGCCGGCTACGTCTATAGAAGTCTCAGTAAGTGAATGCTTACATAGAGGGTAGTACCCGTAGAGTCCAGTAGAGGGCTCCGCCTGTGCTAATATAACAAGGGTTACAATACGTAACCCAACGTTTTTACTAACCGGTATCAGTATGTTGTTACTTCGGCATCATTTAGAAACGTGTATTACAATTTAATCACGGTAAAATATGTTAATTTTGTTGTAGTTGTAGCCCCCGAGCCAGCGCGTCTTGTTTGAATGACGCGAGTAAACACAGCTGACAGCCGCGGTGAAACTCGAGCGTTCAGAGCGATGCGACTATTCGCATCGCGTCCGGTGTGAACGCAGCATAAGGACCCAAGATCCGCGTTTCTCTAACAGGGCTTCAAAAGAGGGGTTTGAGCAGTATGAGGCATGGCTACAATGGGTGATCTGTTTGGTATTTAAAATAAAAAACTTCACAGACATGTTTTGTATAGGTATGGCCCTATAATATATGTTTCAAATATAGCATGATAGGTCCCCTTTAAAGGGGCCCGTTCAAATCCTTTTTCTCACTTCCTGGTTAATGTAATTAAAGTTTAATAACTTGTGTTTAGGCAACCATTTTGAATGTTAACCATTTTAGGATATTATTCAGGTGTTTTCAGTGGTTTGCTATTAGACAAAAATGCACCTTATTGTATTGTTAGCGACACAAAAAGAAACGATTTGAACAAAAACATAAAAACGTCATAATGTAACGGTTGCTAGTGACATCTCTTTCTGTTCTTTCTTTCAGCGATCAACATTGTAAATAGATAAGAAAACATACTTCTCGTGTTGCACGTCCCTTCTGGCCTGCATCATCCATGTTTACTATTTTCTGTTTTAGCCTTGCAGAGATACAGAAAAACAAACTGTTGAAATGTTTCAGCCACTGAAATTGGGTGCACAAATATAAATGCCTTTGGCCTCTACTTGAGCACAGCCACTGTCACTATTTATAAAAGTTTGGCAAAGAGAAACAGCAAGCAGTGCAGATGCAAATGATAAAAACGAAATACTTTTCTTGCCTTTAGGAAGTGATCAGCAGCTGTTTATCTATGTTATGATGCCTTGCAATGATTTTTGAATGTTGCTCCTCTATGAAGTTTTCTAAATCCCCGTTTCCCTGACACTGGCTCTTTATTGATGCTTGAAATGCAGAGAGATGAGCTGTGTTGTGATTATCAAGTACTTGGAGGCCGAGCCACGACAGACTGTCTGCTTATATATGCCGGTTGCATCCGCTCAGTACCACTGCCGATCAGGTTTAAAAACAGACATCTCATCAGGATGACTGACAGCTGTTCAGGCAGAACTTTGGCCAACACTAAGGCAGCGGAAAGTTGGTATTCCAAAACAGTTCCTGCCTCCAGGCATAAAGTTGCATCCTGTGGCCAGGAATAGGTAATGCGGTATGGGATAAATCAATTCCCAGTCTGTAGAGCTTTGCAACACCTTGTAATTGTTGTACGCGGACAACAACAAGGTCAAGGTTACGCACCAGCTCCAGGTGAACTCATTGTATTGTATTTACAATTGGTGACGTCCTATAACTAAAATGGCCCTTGAAGAACTCAGAGTTCCGCCCGGGCCAATGGTGGGTTCACATGCCCTTCAAATGGTCCCCTTTACAAAGTTGGGTGTGTTCATTAACTTTAAGTTGTAATTTAGAGAAAAAAACATGGATGTAGGGTTGGGCAATATATGTTGTATTTCGAGATTGAGACGAAAGATTATGTTACATGTTTTATTGTTATATGGCATGTTTAGTTTCTTCCTGGTGTTAATACTTGCATTACAGTAAAGCGACTTATTTTAAAATGTCATTATGTTTTACCCATCAAGTCATGTTATCCAAATTATGATTATTCATAAAAAACACTCATTGTATAAATATTTTTATTAAAACACCCAAATAGACAACAATACAATTTCATAACAGTACTGAATGAGGTATTCGTTCAAAACAATTGTGACATTCCATATATTTCATATCACCCAGCTGTAAACGATAAAAAGAAGAATTGTTGTGTGTTATGCTGTTTCCTAGGTGTTATTGAGCAGGGCTTTTTGTATTTGAATTCCCATGTCAGGAACTTCTTTTTCAGATTCTCCCCACATTATACGAACGCAGCATAAATGCCCTATCATGCGAATGAAAATGCAACATAATATCTGTGATTTGGAACCACTCCTGAATTGATTGGGTTCTTGCTTGGCAAAGGCTACACCCTTCCACCAAGTTTCATGAAAAGCACACCAGTAGTTTTTCCCTAATCTTGCTGAAAGCTTGAGAAACCGAGCTGAACAAATAACCTCTTTGGCGAAGGTATTGATAAATGCACAACGTACCTTAGGAGTGAGCAGAAACGTTTTGCCTCTCAGCTGGACAGCTTGTGTCCAGGATGAGCATTTCATTTGCTTTTCTGGCTCATTTGTGCAATTTTCTGGTCGTCAGCTAATGTTTGGCTCCGCCTCAGCAGAGGATTTGCTGTCTACCTCGTCACGTCTGCATTTGCATCCATGCATCTTTTCTCACAGCAAAAGCGCACCAAAGAGCACAGATGACGCCATTTCCTGCCCAGTGGCACCATCTGGCTGCAGAGCATTCTCTTAATTCTCGCTCTTATCCCCCCTGCTTACCTCCTGCTCATTCCTCTCAACATCCTCTAAGAGCTTCCTCCCTGGTCAATTCTCTGGCGTTCGTAAACATCCTTAGACAGCACTCACAGTGTGCTTCTCCGTCCATCTCCCGCCTTCTCCCCCTCCCCTTCCCTGCATGCCTCTCTCTCAGTGTTCCTCTCCCTCCCTTCGCTCCTCTCTCCTTCACCCCGTCTCCCGGTTCGTCAGTGACAGCTCTCCTCTGAGGAGAGAAGAGAAAACAAAGATTTGCTTCAGTGGCTCTGATCTTGATTTTCTGCAGATTGGATGGAAGATTAGGAGGAGCTTCTATTCATACACCACACAATCACTTCCCCCTGCAACTGCAAACCATGACTGCAGACCACAGGGGTTACTGCTATCAGCACAAATGTGCCATCTGTGACGAGGCGTCTATGTTCCATACCTAAAACCATGGAACACAGTGTACTGAGCAAAGGTCCCCGAGAAACAAAGGTGAAATGCAGGATGGGAAATAGAGTGAAACAAAGGAACAATGCAATGAAGATAAGCTTCAAGTAAACAATCACAAAAGGTAATAAGAAATCAATCAATGCTGTTGTAGCATAAGAGGAAGAGGTATAAACGCAATCATTCCATGATCAGATTTACACCAGGTCGTGGATGTTTTCTTCAATATATGATTTGGCTAGATGGGTTATTTTGCCTGATACTCCAACCAGCGCTGTTAGTAGCTGCTCTCAGGCGACGGGCAAAGGCTTGGGAGGGCACAGCGGGCAAACAAAATCAAAAATGTTTTTCAGGTTTCCATAAGACTCATTTCAATTAAGCCCTCTGTGACGCCTCATCTCATTGATCATATCTCTGCACGAGTCCTGCTTTAGAAAATCCCATCATGACTTTTCTTCTTCTCCTTCTCTTTTCAGACGGAATGAGTGAGAGAGATAAAGAGACATGGAGGCGCTCTCATCAGGTAGGACTCTTCTCTGTCATCTCTGCTTTGATTTGGATTGTTGTACAAATTCTCAAGAACCGGGGACTCCATAGCCTTGGTGGGCAAGATTATAGCGATTGTGTCTTGGTACACTGGCAAAATAACTACTTGGGTGAAAAAGCTGTCAGTCAGAAGAGATTCTAAAGGTGGTTGATTTGCGGCTTTATGTTAGGTTGGTGGAATGAATGAAACGTACAACACAAGTAATTGTATATAATAATTTAGCATTTTTAGCAATTCTAGCAGAATTAGTAGCAGTAGATTTAGTGCTCCTCTGACTTGTTCTGTTGCACCAGTATGTTCACACATTTTCATTTTTTGTAGCTTTGGTTTATAACTTAATACCAGCAAATCTAACAACAATCCGCTAATATTAAATGTGAGCATGCTCACATGGTAACATATATGGAAACTAGCCTACTTATGGAGGATTCAAATTAATTCCTCTTTATTCGTCAAACACAAACAAACCTGCTAAACATCTACATGTTAGCATGCTTAAGTTAGCATTTAGGCATTATGCTAGGCATTAGCATAAGCATTAGTCTTGCTTTGTTCACCCAGTGTTCTACATTTTCTTTAAACCCTTTCAACATACGTTTTCAACCGTTACCTAAAAACCTGTTGTAATATCACCCCAGCTGAATATTGTCTTAAATAATAAAGTAAGTGAGGGGCTGAATGCTTTAGCCTCGTCAAGCCACTGCTGTGTTTTGTGGGAGAGCCCAGCATGGCGCTTTCTTAAAAAGCCGTTTCTGAAGCACTTGAAAAGTCAGTTTGTGAAGCGAGGCCCATGCTCCACGGTAATCTCAGTGTTGTAACAGAGAAAATTGACCGTTTCTAATCCAGACGGAAAATGTTGGAGGCGTTTACAGACAAAGGGAATGGGATGTCGTCGAAAGATTTGCTTCTTATTTCTTGTTCCAGGCCTTGGCATGGGGTTCTCCTCCACAATTCTCAACATCAGCATATGAGTTTCACTTATCATTCAATTTACCCGGCTCAAGAATGCATACTTGAGTCTACAGTTGTGACCTTAACGTGACCTTAACAATACAATATATCTGACTTTGAAAATCCAATTACATATGGCTTTTAGATAAATACACATTCCCTTTGGTGGCAGTTAGGGGAAAAGAAAAATGGTCGTTTACATTTTCTGTATTGATTTTCCCAAAAGTGCCCTGGCAGCAAATCAGCTACCACTGCTTTTGGTCTTTTTCTCGCTTTTATTTCATTATGAATTCAGTGTTTTTATCAAATTGAAAAAAATACAAGTTAATAGTTCAGCAGTTACTCCAGGAAGTCTCTCTGCTCCCTCTCCTTCCTGGCAGTCATTTTGTAAAAGGCCTACAACCTCACTTTTATACATTATTAATGCCATTTGTTTGGAACGCACTGTCCAATGACCTCAACATACATTATACCTGTGTTTGATTAACAGATGGTGTGGGCCAGGTTTGGCTTATAATGTATGCTGCCTTCAAGAAATAAATAATCCTCCAACGATGTAAGAATTATAACAATCGTACGCTGGTTAGTTCACCAAAGAAGCCCTCTGCCTGACCTACTTGACAGTCTGAGCGAATGTCTAGGAGTGTATTAGCATTAGCACATACATCTGTACACACACATCGGTACAGCGTCCCTGTCCAGGCCGGCTCATTTGGTACGACACGTCTGACCTTGGTGTCCTCTCCTCTTGGCACCGACATGAGAACCCTGCCTAATCACTGAGCCATGCCTCAGCTCCTGCAGGATTTGGCTCACCACCACCCTGACCATTTTTGACTCCACATGGCCCTTCTGTGGCCCGACAGCTAAATACCAACACATGCTGCTATCAATAGTGTTAAATGCCAATTACATGCTCTCCCCCAGACTTTACTGGCAATTAATGGCATTGGAGAGAAAGTTGTCCTCTTGCAACTTTAATTGATCTTTGCCCTGTCATGGTGTTGTTTGTTTGGCAGTCAAGTGGAAGTTTAGTCATGTTCAGGGACAAATACAGTAAGGGAGTATTTTCTAATTATTTGTGTGGGGATAAGGGGTTAAATAATCCCTTTTTTTACATATAATAAATCACAAATTGGTTTGGAATTATCACCTGAATTTACAGCCCTACAGTTCTAGCAAGTTTCATGACATTTGTTTCAGTTTGTTCCCCTTAACTCTACTGTTGGGTTAAATTGTTCACGACTTTTTTTAAAGAAAACAAACACAAAAAACGCTCTATATACAACCTGTCAATCACGTAAAATAGCAGACTTTATAGGTAGCAACAAGCTGGTTAATATCGTGGAGCATTTAGCAGCTCAAAAGTTTCAAGGTTTATGGATATCCAAACATTGTTACAAGTGAGTGAATATCAAACTTACATTCAGCAAAAACACTACATCAAATTAATTTCTTGTAGTTTTAATGTGGAAAGGCAGATGATGGACTGCTCTCCACCACATTCGTCCAAATGCACTTTTGATGACCTCTGGCTTACCTTAAAGCTATCTCTTTGATGTTGTGATTTGATCTTTTAATGTATTTATAATGAATAAATCAATAATCTTTCCTTTATTCAAAGAATAAAATAGTCTTTCGTTCTCCTACCAACATGTTTTTGAATGCCCTAACTTTAGCAGAAAGGGGAGAAAATGCACAGTCCTTTACCTTTTTTCGTGATCCCCAGACTACTTAGTTATAACTTGGAAATAAATACTGGCAATTAGGCCTTTTTCTACTGCAAAACCCCTTCAGGTATCCCTATAACTCCAAAGTAATAGCGATGTTGGTATTTAAATGAAATAAAAAAACACTTCCCATCTGCAGCCTCTATACAGCACCCGAGAGGGATAAGAAAGGAACGAGATGCTTTTGTTTCACTCCAAACCCAGGCAATCATTCAGAGATTGAGCTAATGCTGATCACTCCGTGGTCAGTAAAGACTGCATCGGGCCAACAGCGTCCTCCTAAGGACATGTTGGTGTAATTGGCTGATTGGTTGTTTCCATTTAATCCTACTGTAGATGTTCGATCCATAGGTTAGGATCAGACTGTTGAAAGCATATAGAAAGATAGAGGTATTGTGTATACAGGGAAGACAGCAGAAATGAAATATACAGAAGGTGAACCAGGTCATTTTACCTACGCTTCACTAGTCAATAGAGCATGGTGGTTAATTGAACAAAGCTGAAAGGCATGCACTGATATTTCTAAGCACTTCCAGTATCATACATTTATAGCAAAATATCGCTCCTCCATGCATGATTTCAGATCGTATTGATTTACCTGCAAAACAGTCTGTCATTCAGTCAGAACTGGCTTGATCCAGACATTCACATAACAATGCATAACAGGGTATGGCGGGGGAGGGGGGGAGGGGGCGTAGAGACAGCTTGGAGTGTGCTGAAGAAAAATATGGGCAGTAATAAGGAACAATAACAAATGCTGGAAGGTGCAAACTACACCGTGAGCCAACTTCACTGTTTGCTCCGGGGCCTGGCTGCTCTTCATGCCAGTTTCTTTGTCTGTCTGTGTTTGCAAGAGAATATCCTGTCAAACTTTCTGCCAGAATATGATGATTTAACATTATACGTTTACCAACCAATAAAGCAATGAGTTTGTTGTAAGTTTTTTTGATTCCATACCAAAAAAGTGTATAAAAGACCATTATGTGTTGGTATTAAGAAGTGAAGTATACAGATATGCTACTATCTTTGCTCTAGACAACTCTAAAATGTCTTGCGGTAATCCATACCCCGACTAATTAAATAAAAGTCGTCTGACATTGAATGCACCATGACTATTATAGTAATTCAAATTAATTCACTATCAAACAGTTAAATATTTTTGCATTTATATGAATGTCAAATTTTTACAAACAGCATGCCGACATGCTCACAATGAATCTTTGTTATGACAGCATGCTAACGTTAGCTTACAAGCGCTAAACACAAATGTAGAAGGCAGATAAAAATGTGATTTGTGTGGCAGGTATTCAGTCTTCTTAACTTAAGTATTAAAGTGATGGTCAGAACACTCAACAAACTGAAATTAGCATTTGAAGGCAACAACAAGGTTGAACCAGCAGCCAAATAAAGTTAAAGGTACCTCCACACTGTTGGGTTGTAATGTGGACTCCACAGAGCTAGCGTAGTACTCCAAGTAACTTCTTTTTATTTTCTGACACCATGTTTTGAGTGTTGTGGAGCTCAGCATTTACAGAAAGCACTATGTTTTTCCGACAGGAGGTTGTTTGTGAATGTGTGGAACTGCTGCTCCATTATCGTCACGAGTCCCCCTAAAACAGCGGTGTCATATGTCTTATTAGCACATGTGTGGGATGGGATTCAGAGGAGAATCCACTCTTCGAGAAAATAATAGGGATGGCAGTCTGTCCTCTCGGAAGCATGAACAAGAGGTGAAAAAAGCAGAACTGCTCTGTGTCATTACTAAAAAAGCCCCGACTACAAAGAGGAAGACAAAAAACGGCAAGCTATTAGAGCATCAACCGTGTCCCAAATACATGGATTTGACCCACAATCCAAATTTGTCAACTTGACAAATAACCCATTTGCAGCTTGACTCTTGCAGACATATCTCATATTTGTTCTTGGGACAACAACGACGTGAGGAACAAGATAGGGCGAGGGAGTTAAAAGGCGAATCCGGATTGTACTTCTCCACTTGGTGAGGGTAAATTATGGAAAATCAGCTTACTGTAATCCCGACACTCGTTGAAGGGGGATCATCCCAGGCGACTTGACACCATTGTTCACTTTTGAAACTGATGTGCTTGTTAGAGAGGAGACATGAAACACACTCATATTTGCTGCTTCATAACCATTAGCGAGCCTATTTCCAGCCCTTTGTGCGAGTTTAAAATGAACTTTCCATGCGGTGGCTTTGTCATCTAATTGGAGTTAGAACACACAGTGGATAACAGCAAAAAACGAATAGCAGTGATTGTTTGAGTCAGTTTGCCC